CTTGATTCTACTCGTGGACTTGGACGAATAACTGATTCTCAGTCAACTCGCCGTGACCAAGTTACTCCTTTATTGACAGGGCCCAGACATGCTCGATGCACCCCCTAGGAGTGCATGCTCTAACAAACAGTCTTTACAGGTTTCAAGACATTGGCCTCACACGTCTCAAATTCAGCCCTGCAAGTGGACATCGACATAGCTTATTGATGAGCGCATGCAAATGATTTCGATCGATATGAGATCACAAGGACTCTCTGTGCCTGACTAGTTCCTGTCCCTGCGTCTTTCAAGCGGTGTTTATTGTGATCAAAACTCCTATGGGTGGATGACTACCTTCTGAGAGGCGGTTACCCTGGAGCATATAGGAGGGATATTACCTCAGGCATAACAAAGCTTTGTTCTTGATATGAAAAACACAACGTCACGTTAGGACGGGATGGCACAGTAGTGTGTGTGTGTGGTACGGTATCCAAATATACCCAAAAACAGTACTAATGATATAAAGTCGTCGTTTCACGCCTGTGAATACAATACTGCCTATACCTTGTGTAGGGAATCAAGATGATGTGCTACGGCAGCCAGGAGACCCTAAGTACTAGACGGATATTGTGGAAAAGTCCAACATGCCCATGAATGCCTAGTGGGTAGTCAGTGCACAAAGCATACAGCATTACTGAAAGACACAAGTGATAGTAGCTGTTCCCAGAGGTTGAACAACGTAGTATCAAAGGATGGGAATATATCTTGCAACATTATCCATAACAATTATGATTATTCCAGAGTGCATTTTTATCATTTGGCAGGCGAGCGGACTACCCTGCAGCTATTCCAAAATCCCCGCCTTTCCCTGGAAGTTTGCAAAGGTCTCAACATATATGAAGCGCATACTCAGCACCACGATGTAGTAGGCGAGATGTCCGACAACCTGTAAGTTTGCATTTGTAGTTGTAGACTTGTGGTTGAGCGATCGTCCTGTTGGAATATCCAACAAGCTCTGGAGGTTTCTGGCCTAAGCAGTCACAGATAAACCAAGCAGATGGAAATCGCTATACCTTGAACCGCCTCCAGTTCACCGTATTTGGACACCAGATGACCACCGACATACCAACCTCCACACCGGCATCCATGTGACGGTCTATAAAACTCCATAGTTTGGGACGAGAAACGATCTGCCAGGTTTGCCTAATTGACTTGCTGATAAGACACGTGTGAGAATGAGAAAAACCATTGCTATCACGAACCCCCCATCTCACCGTAGAGTAGCGGCACAATTTTCTGCAGCACCGTAGATCAACACTTGAATCAAACGCTTCCTTGCTCCAGCTCTCAGACCACCCACTATTTGCAAGGCTCGAGCGTCATGGCAGTACGCCGAAAGGACTGCTCGGGTTGATAGACCCCCACTCACTGATGCAGCCTGGGCCAAATTGGCAGGGCAGCTCGATAAGCTTACATAGAGTGCAAAAATGCAGAGCTTTGCCAGTCGCTGGACTCAACAGCAAATCCCCGCAACGAAAGACTCTGGCCAGGATTTCGGTCCCACGAGATCTTGAGATCCAGAAGTGTCACCGATCACTGCGTTGGCCATCATCGCGTTCGTTATCTGTCCTTGCCCACAATGGGCTGATTATCGCAAGAACCGAGGTGAGTGGTCATTCAGCCTGATCTTGCAGTAACTGCGTGCGGGGATGAGGTGCGCTGATGGCGACAAAGATACGAGCCGCCGTCGGATTTGTATGGCCAGCCTTGTTAATTCCCTCAACCTGAGTATCGTGCCTTGTTGTCTAGTTCTGTCCTGGCCATACCCGCAGAATGTTGACGCGACGATGTCACCTGAATAAAGGCTAGACGAACAGCTCACGTTATGTGGCGTTTGCGAACCGATGGTGAAGTCAAACCTACTGTTCATAACGGACTTCTCCATGGGCCGATTCCCACAATAGAGCCGGAGGCCCTGTTGCGAGTCCGAACGGAGGCTCACGTTATATTTATCAACGTCGCCCATGTCCAGTTCCCTAAAGCTTACTGGTAGATGGGGCCTGACGCTAGAATCTGAGGCTGAGTGCCGATGAGGCTGTGGCTATGATGCTAAGGGCAAGCCACAGAATTCTAGGTCCCGACGGGTAACTTTGAAGCTGGTAAGTTTGCACAACCTTGGCAACGTTACTTCGACAAAGTTTTTGCTAGCATCTTGCGCACCCCTGCCAATGAAAGTTGCCGAGCTAGTGGCTGTCGCCGGTTTTCTTCTTCCTTTTCTAAAGATACTGCAAGGGAAAGAAAGGGTGTGATCAATACGAATCAGCAAAACTGATATCGAATTGATGTCCGAATGGAGATGGAAGAGACGGCCGCACCTTGTAAAAGGGAAGTGCAAAGAGAGGTTCCAAAGAGAGGGCTATTGGCTATTGGCTATTGGGCTATTGGTAATGGTCACTTGCCCACTGAGTCACAATCACTCAGCAATTGGTCGTGTTGTCGATTTGCATGGATAATGACAAGAACCGATGCATCTCCAGACGGCGTCACTCAATCACCCGATTATACATTGGCCACCCATGGAGATGTGTTTGGGGGATCCAGAATCCAAATTTGGATTCGGAGAGCACGAGATTCGGAGCTTAAAACACGATGAAGTCATCAGACGCTGGAGGCCGTTGAAACATTCCAGCTATTTCGGTTGTTTCTACCAGCAATCCGGGGACCTGTTCTGAGGCTCAGCTCAGATGGGCAGGCTCCATGCTGGTGGCCCGGCAACCCCGGCGCTGGCATAGGGCATGTGGCGGACCGCTAGCCTGGGCAAAGAACGCCATTTTCCAAGAATAGCCCTTGTCAATTCTCGATGGCAGCCTTACACATTTGATTGACCCGACGTTACGTCCGCCATCGTCAACTGGATGTTTAAGCTTTCTCACGAGATCGAATCGTTACATACTGACATAGCCACACATGCGCGTAGGGTTCTGATTATGCCACTCCGTTCTGGGCCCTTGGTCGCTTTACATACGAAATTCTCCAACAGGGGTGCATTGCCAAGTCTTTGGATTACTCGTTGACGGTCAGGTCAAGACAGAATTTGAAATTGTAAGCTGGGTGAGCCCAACAGCTATCACCGTGGGTCCTGTATGCAGAGATTTGCTCTAGACTTTGCTAGGTGCAGTAGCTGTGGACATGGCATGGCCCGCTGCTGGTTGACGATAACGAGAGCCAAGGAAGCAACATGACTCTTTTGGGTCTGTCTTCCTCTTTGGGACATGGGGGGAGTGCCGTGAATGGTGGTTTACAGCTGTCAGCAATACGGAGATCCAGGGTCTTGGCACCGGGCAACCCACACCTCGTATCCATATCGCCATTTTCAACAGCCACTTCGCCATGGGCTTATCATCAGCCCTGCTCACAAGAGCTAGTCCCGTCATTGGCTTGGAATAGAATCGAATTGACGAAGACTTTAGTCGGCTCCGCTCTATCTCGCTTACCTACCCAACAAATTAGGCCACCAGGTCGACGAGATATAAGAAATGCTCTGCCTCGTCTCCAGCCCCTTCTCTCATCATCTTATACACCATCGTCTTTCGTTCAAAGATTAGCTCTGTCGATCTAGGATCTAGATACCTTGACAAAGTACATTCGTTTAAACAAGCACAACCACTAAACACCAACCACTATCATGAGGTCTTCAGGAATCATCGTCGCTGCTGCGGCTGCTGTCGCCAACGCTCACTACGAGAACGTAGGTTGCAATGTATACTCTTCATGTTTCGAAACTTGTACTAACTTTCATGACTTAGCCTTCTGTTGGCTTCACTACTGTGTACACCCACCCGGCCAACGTCACCAAGCCTACTGAGTACACTACCAGCACTGTCTACAGTACCAAGACCTATACCATCACCCAGTGCCCCCCTACTGTTGTCGACTGCCCCGTGGGCCATGTCACTACCGAGACCATCGCCGTTTCCACAACTGTCTGCCCTGTCACTGAGGTTCCTACTGAGCCTAGCAAGCCTCATGAGCCTGTTTACCCCAACCCTACTGAGCCCAAGCCTCATGAGCCTGTACCTACTCACCCTGGTCAGGAAGTCATCACCAAGACTCAGACATACGCCTACCCTCATCCTACCAATCCTGGCCAGAGCGTGACCAAGACCATCACTTACACCGTCCCCAAGGACCATGGCCACAACGCTACTGCTGTCAACCCTCCTCCTCATACCTATCACCCTGTTCCTACTGGTGGTGCTCCCGTCTACCACAATGGAACCACACCCGGTTATCCCGGTAACCACGGTGGAAAGACTCCTCAGGGTGAAGAGAGCGGTAACGATGATGGCACGGACAACGGATCCCATGGTGGCAGCAGCAGCAGCGGCAGCAAGGGAGGCAATGGTGGCTCTGAATCAGAGGACCACGAGCCTTCGACGTCCTCTGATGTTCCCGAGACTGTCCAAACTGCTGGAGCTCACATGAACGCCGTCACTGGCTTGCTCGCCATCGTTGGCTTCGCCGCCGCCTATCTGATCTAAGATGGGCCCTGACCAAGACACCTTTTTTTCTACAAACTTCTTACGATCCTTACATGATGCATGAAAGCATAGCATTTGGGCATGATTTGATTTTGTTTGCGAAAGCGAACGGCGTTTACAAACAGGGGTTATTTCCGCTACGGATACCAATGGATTGGGCCTAGCGATGACGGGATTGGGGATGCATTATATGAGATCCGAAAGCACATGCACACGACTTATATACTAACTAATTTCTACATTTAATACTAGCGACCATTCATTTAGACTAGACTTTGATTCACATTATACCTAAAAGGGTGCTTTTTAAAATATAGACGGTTGCTAAGACACATTGCTATTCCACAGTTCCATTAACTCTTATTTTCTGAAACATAAAATCATTACCAGGGTTGAAGATAGAATAATGTCTCGTATTTGGTTCCGACGTCTAAGCATCCGGTAGACATGAAATCCATAGCGCAAAGGGCCCAGTGCTAGCTATGCTTTGCTGCAGATCGCATTGAAAACCCAAGCCTGTGGTACGTCTTGTTCGTTTTCACACTCGCTCATATAACTCAAATAAAGTGCATATCGAAACAGAACCTCCCTCAACTCCTCTTTGCGTATGCTTCTCCCCACTCCGATCTGCCAGTTATCTATATCCAACTTGACCCCATCTGCACCCATCTCCACAACCCATGACTGCCCACGCAAGCCAGCCCACAGCGCCATTAGGAACGATTCGTCAATGTGCAGATTCTGTGGCACGCTGCATCTTGGTGACCAGATAGACGGTCGTTGGCGGCGTCGTTCTGGGTCTCGCGCGATCCTCATAAGGGTGTCTTGAGCAACGACCGGATCGAGAAATGATACAAGTACTTCAAAGGTTCGCTTTGCAAGTATGGTGTTGAAGAACCGGGACGTTAGACGGACTTGCTTAATAGCCGGGGCTTGGAGGTTGTCAAGGATCTGGATAACGATTTCTGTGGCGAGCGTTTCCATTGTAACAGGCCGCAAGGGAGCCATCATAAAGGGTTCAGTGCTGTGCCGTCAAGTTCGCGGAGTGAGTGAGGACGAGGGCAATGGAAAAATAGAAGCGGCGGCCTTCATGATAACGAATGGCTATGTCTTGCTCTATGTACCTCCCTATTTGCGAATAATCTTCCGACCTGATGCCTTGCCCGCCCTACAAACTCCCAATCCGTAAAGGTTCTCATGTGAGGCAGCCAACACAGTCAACGTAGATCCACCAATTTGGTCAAGTACAAGAGGCCAATTGGCTCGTAAGGGCTCTCGTAAGGCTTGCGGGGACGGTAAGCCAAGCGGACTGACTGTGTTTTTAGTCTATCGGTATGGGGAGTCTAGGGGTGTAGGATGCCATATTCGACTATACTCGACTAAGGCAGTGTTTTGTTTCTTGGACTTCGGTGTGTATTCATGACTTTTTCAAAAGACCACTTTACTCGCTAGTCTCCTCTTGCCACCATGCCTTCATTAAACGTAACCTCTCCGTCCTCTCCTTAGCCATCCTCCTCCCTTCCTCTGTTTTCATCATGCCCTCAAGTAACAGGAGCTTGTCATCAAAATGCTCCATAGTGTTCTCCAATGTCCGACTCTTGGCACCTCCAAATGCGAACGTCCTCGCAATACCTACGGCTCCAATGGCATCTAGGCGGTCGGCATCCTGGACAACGGCCAGCTCCGGATACTTGCCCACAAGAGCCCGTGTCCGCGCCGGGTCCTTAACTTCGGAGGAGTAGCTGACGCCGAGACAGATGGCCTGGACGGTGTCGGCAAGGGTCTGCGGTGCACCGAAGGACATGAGCACGGATGCTACCATGCGAGAAGGGTCCTCGCCAGGGCGGAGGTACTTCTTGTCGCCAACGTCGTGGAGCAGTGCGGCCAGCGTGACCAAATCTTGGCGTGTTGAAGGGGTATGAGACTGGATATGCTGCGAGAGACGGAGGACACGCTTGATGTGGTTGAAGTCGTGCGATGCGTCATACTTGGACATGTATTCCTCAACATAGTTTGTCACTTTGCCAACAAGGGCGTCATCAACTGACCAGTCTTGGGTAGTCATTCTGTGAAGTCTGCGACCTGAGATGGCTATGCCTGCAAACGGGACGACAGATTTGGCGTTTCAATAGAGGAAACGTGTCTTGATATCTCACGGTAACCTGAGATTGTCCTGAGGATGACTCAAGCACGGAATATTGGAGGTTGGAAATAAGACCCTAAAATTCCATGCCATGAACAGACCCTGGACACGAAATGGGAACTCCTACTAGCCTTTGTAGCCCAGCACTCCGATTTGAGTACCTATCTACGGTAAGGTTCATAAAAGTCAATCTTTAAGAGGGAAGTTCATTCAGATGCCTGAGGTCGAATATATGACGCTTGTCCAGAGAATGTTAGACGCGATGGCCCGACGTGTTTAATGAAGGATAATCTGTACACAAAACGGGTCCCCACGTGACGGGCTACCAGATTTCCAATTGGGACTCATTATTACATTGAGAAAGTTCTCTGATGTACCTCGTAAATGAAGTCATCTGTGTTTCATTTCTGTCAGACTCAACATTCGACAGAGGTCTTGAACAAGTCTCGTGATTCTCAACTATGGCCTCTTATCTGATGATTGCTAGCACCTCTATTCTTTCTTCTATTTCCTTTGAGAAATATTATGCAAAGGGAACACGTTTTTGCTTGGAGTTGAAGCCCTTTATCCACGTTTTACCGCTTGCCCGCTTTCTTAAGTACTAATCTATATGTACCGACTAGGTAGGCAGTCAACGTACTGTAGTATAGGTATTATGAGTGTATGAATAAGTATGACTTGTACTACAGTATAGGCATTGACTAAGCTGAAACATGATTCAAAATGTCTAATAATAGACATTACTTGTCACTTGTAGACTGTTTTGATTGCTAGATATACTGGATTTGTGCCATGCAGCATATCAATGGTGAAGTGTTATTCTTCACGAACCTCAGGACAAAAACACATCGATACGAGCGAAACGGTGTTATCTGAGACAAAGTTCGTGGCATGCAAGACCATCTGAGTGTACCAGTGACCTGTTGTCAAGTGATTGGCACGCGCTGTGGGAAAGCCGTGTTCTATGCTGTCGATATAGTATCAATTAGAAGGACAACAAAAGCCCAGACTCACTGCTCGACGTACCGATTGCCCATTCGATCAAGCAGAAGAAAGGTCACGCTCTGACCGAGATTCCGCCATGGGGAACCCTCATCCTATCATGGAGTCCCTAGAGTCCCCCTCTTTCGAAAGGCAGCCATCACGGGGAACGACTTGGTTACCCTGGCCTCTCGTGGTATCAGAAGACTTACATAAGTACCTTGGGAATTATATGAGGGGAAAAGAATAAACTGGTCAAAGTGCATGCTAACTTCATGATGAATTGTATTAATGCAGTCTGAGCCTTTTTGTCGTTGAGGACTTCAGTCCTGGGTTTTCTGTCGGTTCCCTACCTAACCTGGTAAATAGAGCAGTGGTGGGCGACTTCGTGTAAGTGTGACGGACCTCACATACCCGCCGAAGCTAAAAGGCATAGCATGCATAGATATGGATTAGATAGGACCGATGCTACCGATGCTAGACCCGGGAAGGTAGAAGGCATCGGGGGCACGCGGACGGGCCGTAGAGGGGGAGATGGAGATAGTACGCTTAGACCCATTATGCTTATCGAACGGGCACCTGGCCTGACATGTTTTATTTTGTCTGTGAGTCGAGGTCATCTTAATGATGGTCATAACTTGTCATCAGAGCTTTCAGTCTGCATAAGAATGAGGAGCGAGCAGAGGTGGCTGGATAGGGGGATCCAGATAGACGAGGCCTCGATATGTATGTACCTTGTAGGTGAAGGCCACCGCCAATTCGCATGTCTCTGTCTTCTGGGCCATGTATTCTGTAAGCGTAGCGCAGACGCGGCAAACCCACACTACCATTGTCGACTTGCATCTGGAGCGTGATATGGCGTACATACTACCGCTAATACGACAACAGCGGAGCATACAGTTCCGCCGTGATTCTGAGAGCAAATCCATCTAGTGAGTCAATTATTGACTGGACCAATTCTTCAGGTCGGCCGCATGAACTCGAGGGTTGCACTACAGCTCGCCCGACTAGAGAGCGGCCCAATAGTGGCCAGAGGTGTCAAGCGGTGCAGTGCAAGTCAAAGGCAGAACATTACGGCAGATGCGAGGCAAGGCGATGCGATGTGCGATGTGCGATGAGCTTAGGCCTTGCATGATCCATAGATTTCAATGTGCTGCTGAGGCCACGAGAGCCGACAAATCTGGTGTCTAGACCGTACAAGAAATGACACTGATGTTGCGTCCTTGCATGGCTGAAATGCAAGTGGTTGATGTGAGATGTGGTTGACGGGTGTTGGTAATTGGCTGTGCTGCAGCGTGACGAGAGGTTGAATCTAGCGGTGCCACAAGCCAATGACGGCGTTGGAATAGACGCTCTACGGGGGTCGCTCTTTGGGCCTGTTTAGCGGTAACGGGCTTCTGATTGGCGCAGTGTTTCTCCCCGCTCTGGGGCTGCTTCTAAATATCGCAGCATTTAGCATGGGCTGTGACCCACTTTTGATGCACGCACTTACTTGATCCACACTTGCTTAACCGCCCACGCTTGTCCCAGGAGGGAAGAGGGAACCGTTCAATTGTGATGGGTCGAGTGATAGTAGATGACATGAACTCGGCATTTCCTTGTCTGCAGTCCGTGATTGGTTGTCTCTGTAGCTGAAGAGTCCTTGTTTCTTGTAAATCTGTGCGTGCGTAATTCGTAATTCACACGGGCAACAGATGTTATTGTCGATACATTGGGTCCATCACAATTATCCTCCTAGGTAGGTAGGTACCTATCCATCCATCCACATGATTGATGATGATTGATGATGGATATTGGATCTATGGATCCATCCTTGCAAAATGGCTGTGGCCGCTATACACGGCCGTTCCTTATAAACAGGACCAACACCCGCCCCCAAAGCCTCTCTTCTTCTTCTTTCTCTTCTTCTTTAGCAAGTCCTTTTCAATCGCAAATCCTGTTTTTGTTCTTGGGTCTCTTACCCTTCCCCCTTTTGTGTTTTTCGTTGTTCACCGTGGAGCCGGCCTCTACATCTATCTTTCTAATTTTCGTTGTCTCTAATCAAAGATATCCGTCAACTCCAAAGCCTACTCAATAAGTTGCTGGCCAGCTTAGAGACATCAAAACTTTTAACGATTATCCTGTTTTTTTTTGTTCGTCCCGCCTGTTATAATCATCTAATTGCAGAAATCACGGATTTCACTTGCTCGCGCCAACTATCAAACAATATTGCATTGATCAAACTTTCATTGTTCGCATCATCGACTCACCAGACAACTCAACCGCATAATTGAATCAAATCAAATCAAAGCAAAATGTCGGCTGTTCAACTTTCTTTCTCTCTCCGCGTCTCCTCTGGCGTCAAGACTGTCCACCTTCTCGGCTCTTGGGACGGTTACGTCGGTCAGCTCCCTCTCTCCAAGGACAAGTCCTCCTCCAAGTCTGGCTCCTGGAAGGGCACCTTTAGATTCCAGAACTCAACTCTTGAGGCTGGCCAACGATACTGGTACTACTACATCATCGATGGTTACCATGTTGCCCACAACCCCAGCGTCACCTCAACCATCGAGCCCACCACTGGCCGTGAGCTGAACGTTCTTGACGTTCCCACCGACTCTCACAAGTCCTCGTCCCACCGCTCTTCATCCTCCAAGTCTTCCTCCAAGTCTTCCTCTTCCTCCAAGTCCTCATCCAAGTCATCGTCGCACAAGTCTTCCTCCAGCAGCAAGAGCTCTTCTCACTCCTCCAAGGACAAGGAGTCGCGATCTTCGCGATCCTCACGCCACAGCTCTAAGCTCTCAGTTGACATTCCCAAGGGTCGCCCCCTGTCAATCTCCCAGATCCAGGCCCCCAAGCCAATGTCTCCCCATGCGACTAAGCACATCTTGGATGCTTCCTACTATGACAACGAGGAACTTGAGGAGCTTGCCGACCGCTTCGGCAGCGCCAACATCGAGGACGAGTTCATCACTGACTTCAGCACATCGCCAATCTCCTCCAGTGGTTCTTCTTTGTCCTACCGCTCCGACAGCTCTTCACCCAACTCGTCCCTCTCCGGCTACAGCACTCCCGGCTCCGACGTCAGCTCTTGCACTTGCGAGCGCTATGGTATTACTCGCAAGGGCGAGCGTGTCAAGCTCGACTGCGGCGGATCCCGCTGTGGCTACGATGACGATAGTGATTCCATCTGCTCTAGTGGCAGTGAAGACGAGTATGAGTATGAAGCCTCCGTCTCGCGCACCAGCTCTCGCCGCCACGGCGTGGTCGCATAAACGCGCCAGTTTGCGGAGGGCTCTGTGGCAACAGGTTGAGAGAACCTATAGCCGTTCATTCTTTAAATCGGGCATCCCCTGGCAGCACACTCGCGCCGGGATGGCTCGACCTATGTTGTTGTGGTAATATCAGCAATCATTTTTCTGTTCCGACCTGCGTCACGCTGTCAGACGTGGATGGTACGCCGAGCTGGTCTCGTACCTGCCACCGCGCCGAAGTGTTGATCGTTAGCTAGGTCGATGCTGCGGCCGTTCGGCGCAGTCCTCTCGTGGCTGCGCAGACGTAATTTTTCTTCCTCACTCTGTTGGTTCCTGAGTGAGCTGGGAGTCCTCGAAGAAAGAGGCTGCCCCAGAAGCAAACAATGTCAACGCATGAGAATCCCATCTGTCCTGATGATGGGATCCCGTCTCTTGCAGACAATATCTGGATGTGGTTCAGGGCCTGGCGATTGATGAAGGTCTAGACTAGCCATTACGAAGTATGAGGTGGATGATGAAGGACAGTCATGAGCAACGATTTAATGAATGAAATAGCTTAGCTGTCTAGGATAGACGACGATTGAATCTATTCATGGAACGAGATAAGAGGCCTCGAGTAATAGAGCAACGTGATGCTGTGAAGCTATTGATTTCGGTCTTTCGGTTCAATGTTACTCCCCATCATACTGCACTTCTAACAGGTACTAAGGTGGTAGTGAGTAAGGTAAGGTAGGTAGGGCCTTCAGGAGGCAGGGGCCCAATCTCATGGCGGGGTAACTCCCTATCATGTATTGCCCAGCTGTAGTATCACAAACTCGTCTTCACCGTACTTGTAACGTCTTTCTACATAAAACATTGCATTGTATCTCTGGTTTATGTAAGACGAGGCCTGAGGTCACCAGTGATCAGTTTCGAATTCAATTTGAGTGCGTGCCACTTTCTTCCTCAACCACGTTCCCTCCATCTCCTTCGTTCATTCGTCGAGCTTCACTTAACACGATCTCAAGTGTAGCATCGCCCAACTGCAAATATGTCCGACGAGCAAATCATACTCCCCATCATCGACTCCCACATTCACCTCTACCCAGCGGCCGAAACAGACTCCCTCGCCTGGTACACACCCGATGGCCCCCTTGCCGGCCAACATTCCCTGGAAGAATACCGCGAAGCTACCTCTTCGGCACCGTCTCTTCTAGGCTTTGTCTTTGTCGAAACAGACCGCCAGAATGATGTTGAGTCTGGCGCAGTCGATGGCTCCGGCTGGGAGCAGCCTTTGGCTGAGGTCTCATGGCTCAAGCGTGTTGCGCTTGGCCAGCCGCGCGAAGGAGAGGGCCACAGCCCCGAGGATGCAAAGTTGTGCCTCGGTATTGTGCCCTGGGCGCCGTTACCAAGCGGCCCTGAGGTTCTAGAGCGTTATCTTGATCGTGTGAAAGAGGTGGCCGGCGATGCTTGGCCTAAGATCAAAGGGTTCCGCTACTTGCTACAGGACAAGCCTCATGGCACTATGCTGGACGATAAATTCATCGAGGGCGTCAAGCTTCTTGGTCGACGAGGATTTACCTTCGACGTTGGCATTGATCAGCATCGACGCGGAAAGAAGCAGCTCGATGAGGTGATCGAGTTTGTTGACCGTGTTCACGACGGTGTTCCCGAGGAGGAGAAGGTCACATTGGTGCTAAGTTCGTCCAGCCCTTCTCCTTGCCCTACTTCATTCTAACAGCGTCGTCTTAGACCACCTCTGCAAACCCGACTTCAGCATCTATAACCTTACATCAGACCCCAGCTTTCACGCCTGGCGTACCGCTGTCTATACCCTCAGCAAAGACTCTCACGTCTATATGAAGCTCTCCGGTGGCTTCTCCGAGATGCCTGACTCCCTACGAAACCAGGACCCCAACCACATCTTCGAGGCTACTCTCGCTTGGCTCGGTATTGTCCTCGCTACCTTTGGTCCCAGCCGTATCATGTTTGGCAGCGACTGGCCTGTCTGCACTGCTAACACCGACAATGCCTGGCCTAGATGGCGCAGCATCGTTGAACGCATGTGTTGGATGGCTACGCTGAGTGATGAAGAGCGCGCAATGATCTTTGGCGGTACGGCCAAGAAGGCTTATGGCCTCTAAGCTGAGGAACGGCATTATCAGGGCAAATACTATATAAATATAAAAGCCTAAAGAAAGCTTCCTTGATGAGATACACGAGTGTAAATAAACAGAAATTCTCATAAGAAAAATAATGGTAACCCTTGCTATGAATGAATCTCATGATTTACCTCAGAGACGACTTTACAACTGACCTTTTGACAGAAGCTCCAAATCTCAGGAAGGAAAAGAAAATCAACTATGTTCGAGAAACTCCCATCTACAACCAACATCCATTGTAAAATGCAACGCCGGACTCCCATGACCATCAGTCGTAGAAACGTCAATAAACAATGTCATGCCAGGGCTCTAGAGCAAGCTCGTGACACCCCCGAGCATATGCCATGCAGAAAAACAGGCTCCAGTCATGCAGTTTTATGTGTCATTAGTTTTCGCGTTCATCTGCCCCTGTGAGGCTCATTGTGTTTCTCCCCATCCAATATTACTCTACTCCACGTCCTCGGTAGTTGCCCATCTTCTCAATGGAGTTCATGATGCCGCTACGGGCCATACCGCCTGGACGAGGCAAGCCGCCTGCGCTCTTTGTTCGCTCGTGAGGTGCTCGGAGTCCTGAACCTGGCGCGCGTAGTCCTGATGCACGACTGACACTGCTTCTAAAATGATCTGCACTTCGTTTTGGCGTTTTAGTCTCAGGCTCTCGGTCATGTTGTCTCTCATGAGGGTAACGAGACGCAGACGGAGGCTGTTGAGCTTGTTGCTGTGGCTGAGGCTTTGGTGTCTGCGCAA